CCTATCCTGTACCTTTACTACAACAAGTAAGGTAACTCCTATCCTGTACCTTTACTACAACAAGTAAGGTAACTTCTATCCTGTACCTTTACTGGAACAAGATAACTCCTATCCTGTACCGTTATTACAAGTAAAATAACTCCCATATGCACCTTTTCTACAACATGTAAGATAACGCATATCCTGTACCTTTACTACAACAAACAAGATAACTCCCATTCTGCACCTTTTCTACAACATGTAAGATAATTTCTATTCTGTACCTTTATTACAACAAGATAACTCCTATCCTGTACCTTTATTGCAACAAGATAACTCCCACAACAAGTAAGGTAACTCTTTATAACAATAAGTAAGGGAACACCTCTCCTGTACCTTTACTGTACCTGTACCTTTACAAGCAAGATAACCATCATTCTGTACCTTTACTGTACCTGTACCTTTACAAGCAAGATAACCATCATTCTGTACCTTTACTACAAGTAAAATAACTCCCATCCCGCAGCTTTACTACAACATGTAAGATAAATTTTATCCAATACCTTTATTACAAAAAGATAACTCCTACAACATGTAAGGAAACTCTTATCCTGTACCTTTATTACAACAAGTAAGGTAACTCCTATCCTGTGCCTTTACTACAACAAGTAAAGTAACTCACATATTGTAGTTTAACTTGATAAACTAAGGTGAGTTACATTGTAAGCTTAACTCCTTCATTGTCCTTTCTTTCAAATCAACAAAGCAATTACAGACATTACCTCTAAAACTTGAGATAGGTAATTTACAAAGAAAAATTTTACATGGTTAATCATATATATGATACCATTGTGCGAGAACCATATCTTTAAAACATTCATTGCTCTGGCAAAAATGCTGAAATTTGCACATCAGTACTCTGTGAAACTCACATGTGCAACAAGTCACGGTCTGTCACGTGACTAATTCGTAGGACGAAACAGGACTTAGGAGGTTTTGATTACTTGCACACGTGGGGTATAAACTTAAGCAAAAGTAATTTTCCATTTCCGTGAATATAACCAATGGGTCTATTGTTAGTTTATGGTAAATTTGAAATAATGATTTCCTTCTCAAAGATATAATGATATATTTAAAGTTTTAAATCCTTATTAGGAGCTGGATAACCCCCATCCTCTACCTTTACTGCAAGTAAAATAACCCCCCATTCTGCACCTTTTCTACAACATGTAAGATAACTCCTATCCTGTACCTTTATTACAACCAGGTAATCCCCATCCTGTACCTTTACTACAAGTAAAATAACTCGCATTCTGCACCTTTTCTACAAAATGTAAGATAACTCCTATCCTGTACCTTTACTACAACAAGTAAGGTAACTCCTATCCTGCACCTTTTATTGGAACAAGATAACTCATATCCTGTACCGTTACTACAAGTAAAATAACTCCCATATGCACCTTTTCTACAACATGTAAGATAACTCCTATCCTGTACCTTTACTACAACAAGTAAGGTAACTCCTATCCTGTACCTTTACTACAACAAGCAAGATAACTCCTATCCTGTACCTTTACTTCAACAAGTAAGGTAACTCCTATCCTGTACTTTTATTGGAACAAGATAACTCCTATCCTGTATCTTTATTGGAACAAGATAACTCCTATCCTGTACCGTTACTACAAGTAAAATAACTCCCATATGCACCTTTTCTACAACATGTAAAATAACGCATATCCTGTACCTTTACTACAACAAACAAGATAACTCCCATTCTGCACCTTTTCTACAACATGTAAGCTAATTCCTATTCTGTACCTTTATTACAACAAGATAACTCCTATCCTGTACCTTTACTACAACAAGCAAGATAATCATCGTTCTGTACCTTTACTACAAGTAAAATAACTCCCATCCTGCATCTTTACTACAACATGTAATATAAAGTTTATCCTATACCTTTATTACAACAAGATAACTCCTATCCTGTACCTTTTCTACAACAAGCAAGGTAACTCCTATCCTGTGCCTTTAGTACAATAAGTAAAATAACTCACATGTTGTAGTTTAACTTGATAAACTAAGGTGAGTTACATTGTAAGCTTAACTCCTTCATTGTCCTTTCTTTCAAATCAACAAAGCAATTACAGACATTACCTCTAAAACTTGAGATAGGTAATTTACAAAGAAAAATTTTACATGGTTAATCATATATATGATACCATTGTGCGAGAACCATATGTGCAACAAGTTACGGTCTGTCACGTGACTAATTCGTAGGACGAAACAGGACTTAGGAGGTTTTGATTACTTGCACACGTGGGGTATAAAAACAGAGCAATGTGATATAAACTTAAGCAAAAGTAATTTTCCATTTCCGTGACACAAGTCTATTCACTCAAGCACGCCCTTGTCTTTCCTTTTATTATCAAAGCACATTATTTCAACTGACTCAAACTAGACATCTTTTCCTTGATTTCAGATCTCCTAGACTCTTGTAAATATTTAAGATGTGACATTAGTTTACAAACAGTTTATCTTTTTTTATTCTTTTAGTTAGAATTTCTGAAACGGTCTCTTTTCCTTAAAACATAAATATATAATAATGTTTCTAATGTTTTATTAATTCGGTTCAGTTTCTTCGATATAAAACTAATTAAAACTTAGGTGTTTAAAAGATGTTTGAAATGGTGGTAATAATTTATTTTAGATATTTTAATTACCTTCATCCAATTTCGGCAGTTTGTAAGCGACACTTGGTATTGCTAGCTCAGATCTTTGTCAGGTTAATTTCAAATGTCGTCCCTAAACTAGTGTAAATCATGAACTTTATTACACTACCGAAAATGAAATATTCTAATGTGTTGTATATTACATCATATATATTAGTTTATAATAACTGCTATTTCGTAATATTTCTTATCCATACCATTTTATAAATAGGTATATTTGCACTAACTGACCACTTTTTAGCACCTTCTCCTCACACCCACAAACACTCGTTTGTGAAACACTCAACTTACTTCAATAACAAACACTGATATGAGTTAACCTTATGAGTTTCTGTTACTCATTTTCAATTCTCTTCGTCAACTTTTAATATTATCATTAGAAAGATGAACTCAGTAGATTTTTAGTTACACATTGCAGTAATCTTTGATAGTTTGAATCACGCTAATAAGTAGGTTTTTAGTTACGCATTGCAGTAATCTTTGATAGTTTGAATCACGCTAATAAGTAGGTTTTTAGTATATATATATTGTTCAGTTAAATCAGTTTACTTCAGGACTATCGTGCACAACCACACAAAGGGCTATCTGCACATATTTATCGTGCACAAGCACACAAAGAGATATCTGCACATAGTTATCGTGCAAAACCACACAAAGGGCTATCTGCACATAGTTATCGTGCACAAGCACACAAAGGGCTATTTGCACATAGTTATCGTGCACAACCACACAAAGGGCTATCTGCACATATTTATCGTGCCACAACACACAAAGGGCTATCTGCACATAGTTATCGTGCACAACCCCACAAATGGCTATCGGCACATATTTATCGTGCACAACCACACAAAGGCTATCTGCACATATTTATCGTGCACAACCACACAAAGGGCTATCTGCACACAGTTATCCCTCATTTTGTTCGACAGACACCTGGTGGGGCAGCTACACAAGAGTAATCGCCGTCAACCTATCTTTTCGTCTACTCTTGTCTGATGACGTGATGGATTTGATCGCCATTCGTACAGCGCAACCACCACTTTAGAGTTTTGAGAACGTTTCTTGAAGCGACGGGACACAAATCCTAAGCCCTTGGATTTATAGTCTGACTTTGTTTATTAAATAATTGAGAAAATAATGATACATACACAGATAGAAGAAAAAACTTTCATAAATTTGTATGTTTTACTTCGTGTTATTCATTTAACATCTCAACTCCCCAATACAATACAAAGTGTCCCTTTTTGTCAAGGTCACCTCTTTTGACCACTAAATGCATAGCCTGTATTGAGCAGCTGAATTACAACTTATTTGTCTTTTCCTCAATACAAAGTCTTTTCAGCGAGTCAGATCATCACGTGACTATAAGAAGTAAAATCATATAAAAACACACAATTGAACAGTAGCGTAGCTTTGGTTTCAAAAGTTGGGGGTGGGAGGGCAGCTTCTGTAGTTAGGACATGCAAAAAATATATTTTATAAAAGATTCATTCAACCCTTGAAAAAAGTGTGGGGAATATGCCCCCTGCATATCTTGTAAAAATTACGCCTATCGTTGTGAGAAGCTGAAACTAGACTTAGTTTCATGCTCTTCCTCGAGGAGCATCTTATCAGTAAGGCCAGGTCTCCTTAGGACTAAGAAGTAAACTCCTCTAGAAACCGGACTGAGTGTGAGAGACATAAAATTAAAGGCTTGATATTATATTTGTAATTATGGAATATTTATAAAAATCTTGAACTGGCACGTAACGATCGTTCTCAGCTCTACTGACCAGCATTGAATATTGTGTTTCAGCATTAATCATTGTTGGATTAAGATTTAATATTGCTCAGGTGAGAAGGTAAATGTTAATGTAGATTCTTGGTATTACTTTTTTAAGTCTACCCTTTAATAAAGAACCTAGTGCAGATCTACATTTCACATCTAAGCTTCATTGTTATCATCCAGCCTTGTTTCGATTTGAAATTCCGATTCAAGTACTTATAATATACTTTATGCTACTTGATGACAACCTACCTTCGATATGATAGGACGTCCATTCATCTCGAACGATGAGCTGTTGTCTACCGTTGCCTGTTTTTTGAAGGAAGACTCCGATCTTAGGGGGTTTTTCCTTACCATTCTTCAGTTTATCAAGACTTTTCACGATCAAGTTCATATCCTTATCTAATTCATTCCAATCTTTATGGCTACCCTCAGTGAAGAAATCGCAAAGATTGCAGAAACTACCAGTAAAAGGCACGACCTCTGTTGGTGATTGTGATACTTCGGTTTCGGTTTCAGTACCTGCATTCCATGCTTTAACAGCTATAAAGGGACGTTCTCGTTTGCATAGTGTACACGTGCAATTTTCACACGGGGCTGGACCTGTTATTCCCAATCTTTTTCTTTCCATTCGGCAATATTTGCAGCACTCGCACAACTCCTCCCTGTGGACATTACCACAGTATGTTTCCTCTATAGACCCACTTAAACTTAACACTGAATCACTTTTTTCTCCATTCTCATAACAAATAGCACAACAGTGGCTCATGTTACCAGGCACTATTATGCCTTTATTAGTGTTGTCGAAACTGGCGTAGTTAGTGCAGTGGTTCTCAATCTCTGTAACCTCAAACCCAGTATTCTCGAACGCTACAATGTTACGACATTCGGAACAATGAACTGTGCACTGCAAAGATAAATTTCTCCACTCTTCGGCATCCTCTCTGTGAGAGCGAAACAATCTCCGAGTTCTGAACACTTCTCTTTCAGTCACTTCCGCGTCCATAATATCCGTTTTGCTGTATGAACAAACCGTCCCCATCATAAATTAGGTGTACAACTTCTTGACTTATTTTCATTCCGATCAGAAGACGCTCTAGCACCTGCATCCAGAAAACAAAAATCTTTAAAATAACACAAAATAATATTTTATTAAAACACAATCAATAAATTGCGCTGTGTATTTGAGAGATCACCATACAAATAAAAATAATAACTAGTGCCATCTATTGGCCTTTTTATACAACAATAAAATAGTTGCAACTTTCAAATAACAATGCTTTCTTAAATACAAAAACCTTAACATACAAGATGGTTAATCGCACTTGATAAGGACATTTCGCATATGTGAGGTGTAGCGCTAAGAGCTAAAGTTTAAACACCTATATATTTGGTTCATGGTGAATTCCCGATCATTCACAGAGAAATATCGTTAGGATATGGTTGTGACTGAAGTGTATATCACATTTCTTTAAAAGGCAAGATACCTGCCTAGAGAGATTGTTTAGTAATGTCAATGTAAAATCAAAAGACAAAGTTTCGTAGAAGGGAACCTTCATTGTCCTCCAATGAGACAAAAAAAAATTCGTGCAGCAGAAGGTTTAAAACAGCAATATGCTCCGAAACTACACCCCATCTCAATCCCAAACAATACCTCATCCGCAAAGTGAAAGCCATGGGTATGAAAGAGAACCATCTAACCCAACAATCATTGTAATGAAGCTATGGCTTACCTCTTAGTATCATAATAACCAAGGATTTGAAGTTTACTAAGACTCAAAAGTTTCTCGTCACACCCTAGTTAATGATTATTTGAAGAGAAAGATGGCTGAAAAATTGGAGTCACAATAATCCTATTCGATCACATACTTGTCAAGTCCCGTGATGTAGCTGCAACCGAAATTTGTTCCTTTGATTGTTTTTTGTTTATAAAATTTCGCACAAAGTTACCTAAAGACTTACTCCTTTAACCACCGATAATTTTAAAGTGATATATTAGAGGGAAGACAGCTGGTCAACACCACTCACCACCAATGTGTGGGCTATTCTAAAGGAGTATTTGGATTTAACCGTCACTCTTATAACGCACCTAAGGCCTTATTTTTTATAGTAACGGAGGGGCAACTAAAGTGCCTCGGATCAACAGTCCGGTCTTTTTTGGATTGCTTAAATGTGGTTTTGATGACCGATAGTCACATATAATGGAATGTCTTTAAAATGCTTGTTAGGATAGGTGATCTAAGATTGGCCTCACCGTCCTTTGCCTAAAATTATTACAATGAAACTTAAAGTGTCGGGCGATAGTCATGGCATCAGACTGTGCACGATCGATGATAATAGTTCGAAGGTTGGCACAGGACCTGAAACATTGTTTTTATAAAGTGTGATTATGGAGGAATACAGATCACATACAGGATTTGTAGATGTTATAAGCTTTATTCACTATATCATCTGTCCTTAAAGGCATATCAGTATTTCATAAATACTACTGTGGCTCTGCCATTTCAAAGCCCAGTATGAGCTGTTTTGGAAGTTTCGTTTCAAAGCTTAGTCTGACCTCTATTGGAGATTTTTTCAAAGCCCAATATGGCCCTTGTAAGAATTTTGATTTCAAAGTCTAGTATGATTTCGTCACAGATTTCATTTCAAACCCAGTTTGATTCTGTCAGAGATTTCGTTTATTGGTGACACCAAAGTCTTGGGAATTAAAAACCAGAAGAAACAACTTATTATCAGATATTCCCAAAACATCCACTTGAAGATTATTTAGGAACTTAAAACATTCTAGTCCTAAGATCTGTCTTATCTGCGGAACTGTAATAACATATGCATATATAATATAATAATAATAATATGTGCATAAGCATTTGATAACACGTTCTATTACTCTATTATGGGAGTTTCATATTCAGTGTCTTTTTCAAATCAGAGACCTATTGCTTGATGTTCAAAATAATAGACTATGCCTGTAAGTCATATAAGTAGAGCAAATGTGAATATGTGTCCAACAAATGCAGTTAACATATAAGTGTGAACTACTAAAAGCAGTTACTCCAGAATATTATTTCCATTCGGTTATTTTTTTTTAAAGTTCATCAAGGTTTTGTAATTTACAAATGCTACTGGACTAACCAGATTATTAATTTAAACATTGCCTGTTTTATACCAGTCAGCTCTTTGAAAAGCTAAAAAACAGTATGAAAAATGTCAAAAAATAAGCTGAATGATTAAGTGTGAACTGTGTTTGACAGGTATATATACAATGAATGAGGAAATGTTAGCTGTGTCATATAGGTAGAGTGAACTATGTGTTAGAGATAGAAAAAACGAGCAAGTGTGAAGAATGTCTTACAAATGGAGTAAGCACAAGCTATGTCTTAAAAAGAGAGTGAATGATTAGATATGAGGAGTAGTTTACAGATAGCGAGAATAGGTAAGTGTGAGATATACCTTATAGACAGAGAAAATAATTGTACGTTATGTCTTACAGGTAGAGAGAAGAAGTAGATGTGAATTATGTCATAGGTAAAAGATATGTCGTATAAATAGCGTGACTGAGTATGTGTAAATTGATACAGATTGCTCTACAGAGAGAGTACAATATATTGAAAACTTAGTTCTACAGATAGCATACAATATATTGAAAACTATGTTCTACAGATAGAGTACAATATATTGAAAACTATGTTCTACAGATAGAGTACAATATGTTGAAAACTATGTTCTACAGATAGAGTACAATATATTGAAAACTATATTCTACAGATAGAGTACAATATATTGAAAACTATGTTCTACAGATAGAGTACAATATATTGAAAACTATGTTCTACAGATCGAGTACAATATATTGACAACCTAGTTCTACAGATATAGTACAATATATTGAAAACTATGTTCTACAGATCGAGTACAATATATTGAAAACTATGTTCTACAGATAGAGTACAATATATTGAAAACTATGTTCTACAGATCGAGTACAATATATTGAAAACTATGTTCTACAGATAGAGTACAATATATTGAAAACTATGTTCTACAGATAGAGTACAATATATTGAAAACTATGTTCTACAGATCGAGTACAATATATTGACAACCTAGTTCTACAGATAGAGTACAATATATTGAAAATTAATTGTTATAAAAACAACTTAACTGCAGATTTACTTTCACATTCCATACCTCTGATTTCAACAAACTGAAATGAATGTCGAAAAACCCATCTGTAGTTAATTTATTTTTATAAATCAACTTTTATTCCTTTTTTTTCCAATATTTCGTTGGCTTTCGACGTTTATGTCGTAACTTTTAATATATACTAATACATAGGCGTCGCTAGGTTTTTAAAATATTCGGGGCTCGGGCCCATAGGCTAGGGAATTCTCGGCGTTTCAGTGTGATGTCGATCATGGTTTTCTATTCTGATTTTTCAAGACACCCACTAGGTATTCGGGGCATTATCAAGTACAATCGGGGCACGGGCCTCGCGTGCCAGCGCTTAGCGACGCCTCTTAACTAATTGTTTGAAATTGAGATTAGTACAATCAGTCTTAAACACAGCTATAGCAGATACCGATTAAATTGTCGCTTAGTTGCTAGTCTTAAAACCATTCTTTGAAGTAACGTATAAATAATGTTCAGTGAAAATTGACTGGTTCAAGGAGAGTCGAGGGACCTCGATGTTACTCTAATTACAAGTTTTAATGTGTTGTAAAATCTGTTAGTATAATTTAATTCTTCGTCTTTAAAATCGTGTAAAATGTTTTGACAGTAAGAATCAACTCTTTGTAATATATTGAATTTTTATAATTATTTTATAATTAATAATTTACAATCTGTCGAAGCATGATTAGGATTAATTATATCCGTTAAAAAACATTAGTATTAGGCCTGTTATATTCTTAAACACTACATTCTTTATCTAGTCCTATAGAGATATTCAAGAATTAGAAAAATAGTATTCCAACTACACTTTACGGTTCATGTCTATCGTTTTTCCATCCTTAGTCGACAGCAAACACAATTGTAGTGAAAAAAACTATTTATATAAACCATTTGTTACAGCAACAATTGTTGTGGTGTGGACAATTTTTACTAGCTGTCGAATCATGATTATAGTTATACTTGTCACAAGATATTAGTATTAGGCCTATTACATTTTTAAACACTTTATCTACTCCTTAGATAAGCTATTTAGAAATGTAACAAGTCTGGTACTAATGTTTTATAACAAATATAAATATTCATATTTGTTCAAAACTTTGCAACATTTAGGCTAAGATAACTTTATTCGACTAAATAAACTCAGTTAAATAAATAGTTTTTCCTCAGCCGATATGAACACCCTAAAGTTGATCATTCAAAAAATGTATTATTTAAACAATAATTTTAGGATTTAACCGGAAGGCATTTGAAGCAAAATTTCGTTGAATTGAAGTTACAATTCAGACTATTATTCATTACTATAGAGAAGACTTTACATTAATGCAATAGAATGCAGTATTTTGTTATATTAAAAGGTTTTTACAATTTAGTTTGAAAAAAAGAAAGAAAAGATTCATAACATTTTCAGGACAAGCTTTAATTTCCGCATGATTGATAAATTCGAATATACTCACCCATTGTCCTTGTGAGTGGATACGTTCTCTGTGTATTTGATGTTGCTTTTGTAGGTTAGATGAACAGCCGGTTAGCTATAAAAGAAAAAAAAATATCGTTTATTCTGTAGTAGCTGATCATGCGCAGAATAATCAGCTAATAAAGAAGCTATAGTATTCTTACTAGTTACATATTTTTATTGAAACAATAAACTACTATTTTACAAACTTACCACAAATCAACCAATTTACTCATTCACATGTAAATATATATCATAATCATTGTTTGTTTGTTTGTTTTAGAGCAAAGCCTCATTGAGTTATCTGCTGCGTCCCCTCTGCGAATCGAACCCCAGATTTTAGCGTTGTAAGTCCGCAAACGTACCGTTATTTCACCCGGGGGTTAATATAATCGTCATTTCAGTGTTTTAAAATTAAATAATTTAAAAACTCGTTGTATACTTGCATATAATAAGATAAAAAATATTCTAAAGGGTGGATATTTCACAATATTTTGATCTACAATAAACCATCAACATTCTATTTTTGTTTAAAAATAGTTCTAATTCCCCATTTTGTCTACCCCATCTTAACTGGTTCATCTGCGGAAGCTCCCCAGTGGCACAGCAGTATGTCTGCGGACTTACAACGCTAGAATCCGGGTTTCGATACCCGTGGTGGGCAGAGCACAGATAGCCCATTGTGTAGCTTTGTGCTTAATTACAAACAATCATCTGCGGAATATTTTGGGCTCTTCTATCTCACACCAATAACTCTTAGCTTAGATCATAATAAAATTACAAACTCAACTGACTTAGAACATTTCAATAGGAGTATAACAACTAAAAATCATTCAATGCACATGTTCTTCCTAAAATGGTTGGACGTAATTTTATAATCGTGCTTAAAGACACTTCATACGTAACACAACTAAAGTACTTATCACTGTTATTACCAATCGCTGTATCAATGTATGGAAACAATTATTTTTCAGCTACTTTTACACTTTTTAACCACACTAGGGAAGGCAATTCGCTATGCACAAGTCTCCACTGGATGTACGCGTCACGTTTGTTTTCGCTAAACCTCTGTATATTGTTGTCATTAAGCTTTTGGGTAACTTGGGATAATAGTTATTCCAATCATTTGTTTTTGTCAAACCAAAGTTCTGTCGTCATATTTTGTTACTGGGCTTCAATAATAGATATGTTGCCTTGTTCTTTATTAGTTACATTCTCCCTGCTACTGGTTAATCCAACGGGATTAACAATGCGTTTAATTTGTGTTCTAACCACAGTAACTGTTTGGTTTAAACATTCTTCATTTTCATCATTTTGTAGATGTGGCGGCAAGAGTAACCTAATAGTTTTTCTATTTATTTCTTCGTTTTTCTACAATGTCTGACGCTATTAACATATTATTTATCAACTGTGAAAAATAAGAAAACGAATGCCCTGTATTATCTAGTAAATAAGAATTCAAGCAAAACGATTTCTTAAGAACTGCTTTAATGTTTTTATTTTTATATTGACGCTCTACCGTCGTTCTAAGACATAACTATAAAGCATTCATATGATCCATTAAAATATAGATGGATGGAAATAGATAGGTAGATAAATAGTTAGAAAATGCATCTCTGCTTAATAAAATAGGTGCTAGAAACTTAATATTTGCGTATTTTAAACTGGAGATAGAAAGTAAAGGTTTGCAAAGAGAGAGTGGAGATATGAAATGTATCTCTGCTTAATAAAATAGGTGCTAGAAACTTAATATTTGCGTATTTTAAACTGGAGATAGAAAGTAAAGGTTTGCAAAGAGAGAGAGTGGAGATATGAAATTTATCTCTGCAATGTGATGGTGGGTCAAATGAGTTCATTGCTGATTCGTAGATTCAGAGAAGCTAGAAAGTTCATCTCGCTTCTATTAAAAACGCACTTAAATCAAGCTTTATTAAATTAAGTGTATTACAGATGTAATTTTACAAAAAACATGTTTTTGTCTTTTCTAGATTAAAAGACAGTTCCTACAGTATCTTGTTCTACTACGCGTCTGTCTATTTCCTTTATTATTAATAATGCGTCCACAACATCTTATTGTTTTGGTACTGATGCCCACTTCTATAACACTGGTAACTTAAATTAGCGTGTTTTATCATTTTTGACCAATAGTAATCGTTGATCCTGCTGGAATTAACCTGCTAGACATTTTATATGACTCAACTTAATCTACCAGATACTGTATATTGTTCAAGTTGACCTAGTATATACTGTATATTGTTCAACTTGACCTTCTATATACTGTGTAGTGTTTAACTTAATCTACTAGATATTGTATATTGTTCAACTTGACCTAGTATATACTGTATATTGTTCAACTTGACCTTCTATATACTGTGTAGTGTTTAACTTAATCT